CACAGCATAATGCTTTGCTCTTCAAGTCGCGCAACAGGTATGTAAATTGGCGAAGGCTCGGGGCGTACAGCAGAACGTCGTCTGCGAAGCGTAGGTTCGTGATGCTTGATGCCAAACTTCTTGTTTTGCCAACCGGGCTTGATTTGTCGCAAGATATGCTGAAGCAGCGCATTGGACAGGAAGGAACTGAGCGGATCTCCCTGCCTCACACCCCGCAGTATTTTAAAACTGCGACTGGAGGTGTCAGTGCGGACGCTGGCCGTCTGATCGCGTTGTACATGTGCTGAAGGAGGGTGATGCACGCTATGTTGCTGTCGTAGAGCGTCCCATAAGGTGCTTGTGGTCCACGCAGTCGAACACCTTCTTGCAGTCGATTGCTGCCGCCCAGAATGGTAACTGCCAACAGTGTGATTGCTCGTGCAACATTGCCGTCGTGAAGAAGTGGTCGTCCGTGCTGAAACCTCGCCGGAAGCCAGCCTGGTCAGGGCTCTGTTGTGCGTCAAATGTGGCTTCTAGTCGATTGCAGAGGAGGCGGGACATGAGTTTGCACAGCAGTGGGATGATGGCGATCGGTCTGTACTTTTGCGGTAGCTTGGGGTCCCCAGATCACCGTTATCGCCGTTCTCTTCCATTGTGTGGGAGATGGGAGGTTTGGTTTGATATAGTCGTTGTCAAGCTGAAGTAAGTGCGATTCAATGGCGGTTCCCCCTGCTTCGAGCCTAGGCCTGAAGAAAGCACTCGACCGTATTATGTGGCCGCAATTGTTCGAGACTCTGGAATAGACGGAATCTCCTCGCCCTTACTTGAAGACACTGTCAGCGATATACAGGAAGCAGATCGGGCGACCCGGAGATGACAATCCATTCGATGTCAAAAGGGGGTTCGTCAAGGTGACGTTCTCAGCCCGCTGCTACTCAATGCCGGCTTCCAAGTGGTCATGCGGCTCTGGCAAGCCCGCTGGCGCAACCACGGACTGAAGCTCGAACCCAGATGCCGCAGAAGACGCCTGTCCCACGTGCGGCACGGTTCGCAGACGATCTGATTGTTTACGCAAATTGTCTGGAAAAGCTCACTGAGATGCTCGACGTGCTGAACGAAGAGCTGCAGCGAGTCGGCCTAGAGCTGAACGCCAAAAAGAGCTGGATTTCCACACTAGATCGGCATCTGTACGATAACACCTCTGAAACCTCAGTCGGCACAGCTGGGGACTTCATCAACGTAGTGCGGCTCTCTGGTTACTACGCATACTTGGGAAACCGGATTCCGGGTGACTTCAATAACTGAGGCAGGGCTATGCTTTCAAATCGGTTTCGTTGTGCATGGGCCAAGTTCAACACATTCAAGGTGGCCCTAACGAACGAACACGTCGATTCCGACCTCCGCGCCCGGCTGTTCGATAGCATCGTCACGCCGACGGCCGTGTACGGTTTGTCGACCGCGCCTCTGACGGCGAACGACGTTGGAACGCTTGCAGGTACACAACGGCACTTTACGCTGCATGGTGGGGCATGTCAAACTCCACACAGATGGCTGGCCTGACACGCACAGAAGGCTGAAGACAATACTCGAAGCAGCACAAGCTCGCAAACCCATTCGGCAATGAGCCACGGAGCTCACCAGAAGCAAACTCCGGCTGCAGGGAAAACTCCTTCATCTGAGCCAGAATGCGCTGTTGAGTTTAGATGCGGTCTGGAATCCAGACGGCACTGCCGACGCAAAGCTGCCTGCACAGCCGAAGCGCTGCAGAGGCAGGCCTCGAACGACGTGGGACACACATGCAATTTGACTCACCCCCCTTCCTCATTCCCTCCCTCCCTCCCGACCCCTCCCCTTTCTCCCCTCCCACTCATCGATACCCAGCCATGAATGCATCAACAACGCAATCGTGTGATTGTTTCACTCCGCGTCCAATATCGGACCAGGTTTCGTGCTCGTACAGAAGCTTGCCTTGCATCCTTGGGGGGCTGCGATCTGCGAACATGTATCCATTTTCGAATGCTGCTGGGGGGTCCAGCGGAATGGCGTCACTCGCGGATCTAAATTACACCTCGCGGGGGTCTGCGATCTGCGAAAGCGTCGCCACTTTCGAGGGCTGCGGGGGGTCCAGCGGAATGACGTCATACGCAACTCTAAACTCAACCTCGCCATCCATGGGTAGGATGGGCACTGGCGAAACTGTACCCACTTTCGGGCGCCGTGCGCGGATCAAATGTAGATCTCGTCACCACTGAGGGGCTGGGAACTTCGAAGCCGAGGTCACTTTCGAAGGCTGCTGGGGGTCCAACGGAATGACGTCATATGCGGTGTGGCGGTGGTGGTGGTGTGGTAGATTGTGGTGGTGGTGGTGGTGGTAGTGGTCGTGGGTTTTTGTGGTGGTGGTGGTGATGGTGAGTTGTGGTGGTGGTGGTTGTGGTGGTGGTGGCTGTGGTGGTGGTGGTGGTGGTTGTGTGGTTGGTTGCTGGTGGTGGTGGGTTGGCGCGGTGGTGGTGGTAGTGGTGGTGGTGGTGGTAGTAGTGGTAATCACCGCTGCGTCCCCGCCGTCGCTGGCGCCAGCGCCAGCGTTGCTGGCCGCCGCCAGCGCCGGCGCCGGCGCCAAGGGGTGTGTGTGGTTTGGACTTCCCCCCCCCCGTTCCGTGGGCTGCCTCTGGTCATCGTCGCTGCGTCCCCGCCGTCGGCGCTGCAGGCGGCCGCCAACGCCATCGCCGGAGCCGGCGCCGAGGGGGGAGGAAGGGGGGGGGGAAGAGTTTGACCCCCCCCCCCCCGGGGGGAGGGGGGAGGGGTTCGGGAAGGGAAGATTGGGGGGGAAGGGAGTCCCCTGGTTTTGATCGACGGCGCCGAATGTTGGGGGGGGGGGTCAACCTCCCGTTTCGAAACGCGCCGCCGAATGTCCCCAAGGCAAGCGCCAGTGAAACGCGCTCTCTCCGACTTCGCCATGCCTGAGAAGCTGCGATCAGCGAAACAGTCGCCACTGTCGACGACTGTTGGGGGGTCCAGCGGAATGGCTCCATATGCGGATCAGAATAAGAACTCGCTATCCCGGGGAGGGCTGCGATCTGCGAGATTGTCGGGTTTGTCGAAGGCTGCTGAGAGTCCAGCGGAGTGACGCCGAAAGCGGATCTGAATAAAACCTTGCCGTGCCTGGGGGGCTGCGATCTGCGAAACAGTCGCCACTGTCGAGGGCTGCTGGAGGGTCCGGCTCACTGACGCCATATGTAGATCTATACTCGACCTCGGCATCCCAGGGGGACTTCGAACTGCGAACGCGTCGCCACTTTCGATGGTTGCTGGGGGGTCCAGCGGAGAAACGCCGCGCGCGGATCGAACCTGAACCTCGCCACCCCTGAAGGGCTGCGACATGTAAAACTGTCGCCGCTTTCGACGGCAGCTTCGGGGTCCAGCGGCGTGACCTCACACACGGCTCCCAAGTAAGACTCGCCGTCCCTGGGTGGCTGCGATCTGCGAAACTGTCGTCAACCTCGGCGGCTGCTCGGGGCCCAGCGGATTGACTGCATTCGCAGACCTATAGGAGACCTCGCAATGTGTGGGAGCTGCGATCTGCGAAACCGTCGCCACTTTCGAGGACTGCTGGGGGTCCAGCGGGATGACTTTCACGGCCTACCAGGGCCGGACCATGCACCGTGGAGTCATTGCCGACGTTGGGCGCCAGGACGCGGAAGACCTGAACGCCCTCTGGCTGCATCTCCTACGCAGTGCTGTCCAGGGCGACGACGGTGGACAAACTGCTGCTGATACGCAACCCTGGCCTGGATTTCCGTTCCCGCGGGCCGCCAGCAGACCTGGCGGCGTGCCTGCGCGCTTAGCTCCCGCACTGGAAGGTGCAGGAAGGAGGCCGAGAAGCTGGCGGGCGAGCACGGCCTCGCTCGTTTCCTGCACTAGCTATGAACAGCTGTTACTCTGAAGCGCCGAAGCGCCGTGGCACGTTCAGCGCCGCTTGTCCAGCACGCCACTTTTTATATCTTAAAAACGGCCTCATGCCGCCTCTTTCGTGGTCGTCCTCTTTCCCCTCTCCAGCGTCTCCCTGCTGCTGCCGCGCAAGTTTTTGGCCCCCCTGTCCGTCCTTCTCCTGCCCCTGGCTCCCGCCCCCGTCCTGTTGCAAGCCTGTGACATCGCTCTTCGTTCTTCTATCGCTGCCCTGTGAGTCGGGCAACGCGCGTGCACCCCATGTGGTTTTCGTAACCATTGACGGCGCCTACGCTGTGGCTATCCATGCATAATTGGGCCAATGCTTCTTGTCACTTGATGCAGATGGGCTGGGTACGTCGCTGGGCAATGCGCATCTCAAACTCGACGCCTGCGGATGGATTCGTTCGAGAGCCGCGTCCGTCCAGGGAACGAGAGGTCTGCAGATCGAAGCTCAAGGGGGAGGAGGAGGAGGAGGAGGAGGAGGAGGAGGAGGAGGAGGAGGAGGAGGAGGATTCGCATCGATGCCGCCCCGCACCCCGCCACCAGCATCACCGTGGAAGTCGAAGCCAACAACGTAACCCTCGGCGCAAGGAGGGCCGTCAATTAACAAACGCATCACACACCAAATCTGGAGGTCGCGGAATCGGCCCACCTTTCTCCAAGGGGGGGGGACCTTCAGATGGCTGAGGTCCCACGGGGCGACCCAGATCCGAACCTCCAAAACACCACTCAATCGCCTCTTCCTCAAGGTCAAGGGGCTCCACCACGGGCTGAGAGGACACGTCAGGAGCCTCCTAGAGCACTTCACCACGATCTCTCGGCGCGCCCTCAGCTGACGGAACAGGTCCCTGGGTCCCAGGGTTCACCGCCGTCCTGGGTCTGGCTACCTCTTCAGCACAGACACGCGCATGCATCGCAGCGAGGACCGACTTCGGCGGGCCCTCACGCTGCGGATATAAATCCTGTCTGATCGAACCAGGTTCTCCGAAGAGGAGGACGAAGACGAGAAGAAGGAGGAGGAAAAAGAGAGGAGGGAACCGTGTAGGACAGACCCTCGTGTCGTGGCCCCCCGCTGCCCGTCCTCCCGTGGGCTGGCGATGGAGCCCGGCACAAGCGCAGCACCGCTCGCCTCGCGGGCGCGGCTCCGCTCGGCCGGCCGCGCGGCCTCCGCCTCCGCATCCGCCTCCACATCCGCCGCCGCCTCCATTTCGTCCGCCGCCCCCTCCTCCGCCTCCTCCTCCTCCTCCTCCTCCTCCTCCTCCTTCTCCTCTGACTCCACAATTACTCAATATGAATACTACTCTCCCTCCTCCCCCGATGGCGCCCTCAAAGTAGCCGACCCCCCCCCGCGTCCTATTTTTTTACACACAAGATTCCCGGGAGTTGGATTTTCGCCTGCATTGTTTTTCAAAATGCTGCTCTCGCCGAGGCGCCGGCCTCATTTTCGGGCCCCGCTGGTTCCGAATCGTGCTCCCGCTGCAGCGCTGGCCTCATTTCCGTGCTTCCGCTCGTTCCGAATCGCGCTCCCGCTGCAGCGCTGGCCTCATTTCCGCGCTTCCGCCCGTTTCGACTCGTGCTCCCGCTGCAGCGCTGGCGTCATTTCTCGTGCCATGCCACAGCACACGCGCACACACGCACACACACCACCACCACCACCACCACCACCACCACCACCACCACCACCACCACCACCACAACCACCACCAGCACCACCACCAGCACCAGCACCAGCAGCACCACCACCACCACCACCACCACCACCACAACCACAACCACGCACACACGCACGCACGCACGCACGCGCACCACCACCCACTAGTCCGCGGATGAAGAAAATCAGCGCCATGGTAAGGGATGGGAGGGATGGGGTAGGACGTCAGATATGACGCGCGCGCACCTAGCTTGTCCTCCACCCCCTCCTCCCCCTCCTCCGTTGCGGCCCAGACTTAGGAGGCAACCTCCGCCTCCTAATCCTCCTCCTGCTCCTCCTCCTCCTCCCCTTCCTCCTCCTCCTCCTCCTCCTCCTCCTCCTCTTCTTATTATTGTGTTTATGATTGTTATTCGTATTCGTATAATTACTATTAGTAGTATTATTACTACGAAAAGCATTATCATTCGCATTAGCATTGTTATTACGATCCTTATTATTACTCTTATGATTCGTCATCTTCTGCTTCTTTTTCGTCCTCCTCCTCCTCCTCCTCCTTCTCCTCCCCCTCGCGGCCTCCCACTCCAGGTCGGGATGTCCACGGGCCCCATTCGAAAACAAACAAGGCCAAATGCGTCGGCCGAGAATCCTGGAGCATCACAAACCGGGGAGGTGCCCGTCAAGGATGTATTGCTCAACGTCTGGGTGTAAGGCGGCAGACCACCCGGGTGCCGGCAACGAGGCGCACCCCCGCCCCTCCTCCTCCTCCTCCTCCTCCTCCTCCTCCTCCTCCTCCGCCTCCACCTCCAGCTCCCCACCTCTCCCGCTGCGGCCCAGGAGGCCTTCCGCGTCCTCCTCCCCCCTAACTCATTGATCGTTTTGTTATTGAGGCTTTGTTTGCTTCAAGCTCTTTTTGCGCTGGCGCGCCCTCCACGCCGTGATCCATTCGGGTGGGCGTCAGGAGTGTGCCCCGAGCGAACGCTGGGCCTGTGTCAAAGGACCCTCGCTTCAGGCTGCGTGCTTCCCCACCTCCTCCTGCTCCTCCTCCTCCTCCTCCTCCTTGTTCTCCACTCCTTTTCCTTATCAATAGCTTCTCCCTGTCGCACCCCGAGGCCAATTTTTAGGGCGGTCCGGGCGTTTCGCCTGAGACTTCACCACAATCTATGATCCTGAAGAATCAAAATTGAACAGCTTCACAGATGGAGGGCGGGTGGCTTTCAAAATGTAGTTTTCGCCTTAGCGCCGCGCACATTCGTTTTTTTTTGGATTGAGGGCGGCTCCATTTCAAAGTATGGTTCTCACCTTAGCGCCGCGCACATTGGCTGTAAACATGTGCAAGAGTTTCACGGATTGAGGGCGGGTGATTTTCAAAATGTGGCTCTCGCCTTAGCGACGCGTACATTCGTTCTACAAAATTGCAAGAGCTTCACGGATTGCGGGCGGCTCCTTTTCAAAATGTGGCTCTCGCCTAAGCGCGCCGCGCACATTCGCTATTCAAATGCAAAAGAATTTCATGTATTCCCAAGATAAATGTACCAGACATAGCGTTTGGGATGGATTCTGGATTTTAAGGGTGCACAGTCACATTCGTTCGCGGAGTTGAAGTTCCAGCGCTCTGGCACGATTCAGGCTCATCAACAAGCGAAAGTCAGGTTGATCCGTGGCGTTGGAACCCCGAGGATCATGTTTTGGCATTGTTCAGAATCTTCGGACGGTTGTCTTTCGACTAAGCAATTCCCTCAGTGGAGATGAAACGTTGTAGAAGCCTATGAAGAGGAAGCTGGGAGGGAGGGTTTACTCCAACATCGTTGATGACTCGTGGGTGTACACTGGTCCTCCTCCTCCTCCTCTTCCTCCTCCTCCTTATCCCCTTCCCTCCCTGATCAGCAGCTCTCTGTGGACGCCCGAAATGGGATCAAAATTACCTGGCGACGTGCCCAACCCATCTGAACTAAATGACAAGAAGAGCTGGTCCAGACAAGTTTGGCAGATGACGGCACTGGATCTGTCATTGGTTGTGCAAGCTATATGGCAGGCGCGAACGTTGCGTGACTCGCAGGACAGCAAAAGAGCACGAGGACTGAGGCCCACGGACTGGCCGGAGGCCATTACAATAACAAGATGTTCGAATACCCTCCTCGCCCAGACGAGGCATACCTGGAGGAGCGCGAGGGGCACGAAACCTTATCAATGACATGATTTTCAAACACCCTCCTTGCTCATACGGGGCCTCCCTGGAGGAGTGGGAGGGGCACGAGGCCTGATAACTAGCATGGTTTTTGAATATCCTCCTCGCTCAGGCGAGGCCTCCCTGGAGGAGTGGGAGGGGCGCGAAGCCTTATAAACAGCATGGTTTTCGAATACCCTCCTCGCTCAGGCCGGGCCTCCCTGGAGAAGAGGGAGGGGCACGAAACCTTATACATAGCAGGGTTTTCGAATACCCTCCTCGCACGGGCGGGGCCTCCCTGGAGGAGTGGGGGGGGTACGACGCCAGATAAACAACATGGTTTTCGAATGCCCTCCTCGCTCAGGCGGAGCCTCCCTGGAGGAAAGGGAGGGGCACGAAGCCATATAAATGACATGGTTTTCGAATACCCTCCTCGCTCAGGCGGGGCCTCCATGGAGGAGTGGGAGGGGCACGATGGGTTTCGAATACCCTCCTCGCTCAGGCGGGGCCTCCCTGGAGGAGTGAGAGGGGCACGAAAATTAGCCTGACGAGGGACCCAACCATATGCAGGTGCGAGTACCGCAATAGTGATTCATTTTTTCGGTGGCGATCCCTATGAGGCAACGAACCGTGCTAGGGGCGTGCCGACATGAGTGGCGTGGTACACAAAGTGAACGAAAACGATTGATCTGAGTACGTAGGGAGACTGAGCGCGGGTGAATCTGCGCGCGTGCGTCTGACTGTGAATGATCTGCGTGCGAGCGAGTCTACGTGCATGAATGCGAATATGACAAAGCGTGGTGCAAATGTGTATGAATGCCAATAGTTTGACAACGACTGCCTCTGAATACTCGTGACGCTGGGCGTGGCCGCCGCAAGGAGCTTCCCCGGGACTCCCCGACGGCATCGCCCGCGCGCCGCGACGCCAATGTCGGCGCGCCCCCCCGCGAGGATCGCGCCCGCTTCCTCCCCTTCCTTTACTCCCTCTTTGCCCGCGCACTCAAAAGTCCAAGGCTGCGGGAGCAGCGCAGCGCGGAGCCCCCGCGACGCGCGCAGGTCACCCCGGAGGGGTCCCAGCGACGCGCGCGGGTCGTCCACTGCGCGGAGCGAAGAGAGCTAGCTGGCTGGCTGATAGCGGGCAAGGCTCTTGCCGCTGGGCAGAGCGACGACGGGCGAGCGAGGCGCTGGGCGGAACGCAGCACGGAGCCCCCGCGACGCGCGCAGGTCGCCCCGGAGGAGTCCCAGCGACGCGCGCGGGTCGCCCGCTGCGCGGAGCAAAGAGAGCTAGCTGGCTGGCTGGGACCTGCGGTGGGGCTCCATATGGGGCCACGTAACGCTGTACTGGGCAAAGGAGACGCATGTGGACTGCGCCACGGGGACCTTCGGTGGAGCTCCCTATGGGGCCACGAAACGTGTGAGGGATGTGCCGGAATGGGTGTGCGGGACGCATGCGGGCACACCCACTGAGACCTTCGGTGGAGCTCCCTATGGGGCCACGAAACGTGTGAGGGGTGGGACGACATGTGTGTGCGGGACGCATGCGGGCACACCCACTGGGACCTTCGGTGGAGCCCCCTATGGGGCCACGAAACGTGTGAGGGGTGTGCCGAAATGGGTGTGCGGGACGCATGCGGGCACACCCACTGGGACCTTCGGTGGAGCTCCCTATGGGGCCACGGTGTGAGGGGTGTGCCGAAATGGGTGTGCGGGACGCATGCGGGCACACCCACTGGGACCTTCGGTGGAGCTCCCTATGGGGCCACGAAACGTGTGAGGGGTGTGCCGAAATGGGTGTGCGGGACGCATGCGGGCACACCCACTGGGACCTTCGGTGGAGCTCCCTATGGGGCCACGAAACGTGTGAGGGGTGTGCCGAAATGGTGTGCGGGACGCATGCGGGCACACCCACTGGGACCTTCGGTGGAGCTCCCTATGGGGCCACGAAACGTGTGAGGGGTGTGCCGAAATGGGTGTGCGGGACGCATGCGGGCACACTGGGACCTTCGGTGGAGCTCCCTATGGGGCCACGAAACGTGTGAGGGGTGTGCCGAAATGGGTGTGCGGGACGCATGCGGGCACACCCACTGGGACCTTCGGTGGAGCTCCCTATGGGGCCACGAAACGTGTGAGGGGTGTGCCGAAATGGGTGTGCGGGACGCATGCGGGCACACCCACTGGGACCTTCGGTGGAGCTCCCTATGGGGCCACGAAACGTGTGAGGGGTGTGCCGAAATGGGTGTGCGGGACGCATGCGGGCACACCCACTGGGACCTTCGGTGGAGCTCCCTATGGGGCCACGAAACGTGTGAGGGGTGTGCCGAAATGAGTGTGCGGGACGCATGCGGGCACACGCACTGGGACCTTCGGTGGAGCTCCCTATGGGGTCACGAAACGTGTGAGGGGTGTGCCGACATGGGTGGTGATAATGATGATGACGACAGATGATGATGACGATGACGATGATGGGGATGATGACGATGATGATGAAGATGGGAGGAGGGAGGGGGCAGCGGGAAGGAAGGAACGCGGGGCGCTGTCTCTTCAAAACGAGGACCCAACACCACAGGATGGTTGGGAACTAATACATGAATTGGTTTTCGAATACCCTCCTCGCTCAAGCGGGGCCTTCCTGGAGGAGCGCGAGGGGCACGAAACCTGATCAATAACATAGTTTTCGAATACCCTCTTCGCTCAGGCGGGGCCTCCCTGGAGGAGTGGGAGGGGCACGAAACCTGATAAATAACATGGTGTTCTCGAATTCCCTCCTCGCTCAGGCGGGGCCTCCCTGGAGGAGTGGGGGGGCACGAAACCTGATAAATAGCATGGTTTTCGAATACCCTCCTCGCTCAGGCGGGGCCTCCCTGGAGGAGTGGGGGGGGCACGAAACCTGATAAATAGTATGGTTTGCGAATGCCCTACTCGCTCAGGCGGGGCCTCCCTGGAGGGGTGGGGGGGGCACGAAACCTTGTAAATGGTATGGTCTCCCGATACTGTCCTCGCTCCAGCGTGGCTTCCCTGGAGTGGTAGGTATGGTATGGTAGCTTTGGTATTGTAGGTGTGGTATGGTATCGCAGGTGGTGTGGTATGGTTGGCATGGTAAGGTAGGTATGGTATTGGTATGGTATGGTAGGTATGGAATTGGTGTGGTATTGGTAGGTATGGTGTGTTAGGTATGGTATGGTATGGTACGTATGGTATGGTATGGTAGGGAGGCGGGAGAAGGAGGACGAGGAGAAGGAGAAGGAGAGGGTGTTCTAGGAAAACAAGAACCCCACTCAGGATGTGGGGAACAAATACTGGGCTCTGGGTGCACGCCGCCCCCCCCCCCCGCAGAAGGGATGGGTCTCGGGGTCCCTCGGGTCCTCCCCCCCAGATGGGATGGGGGGGACGACGACGACGACGACGACGAAGACACCGTCCGCTCCTGCTCCCTGAAGCACCGCAACACCACGCGACACCATGAAGCATAAGAAAGTGGGGCTGAAACCTGAAAGTGTAGCAGTTTCACGTCATGCCTAGGACTGCGATGCATGTGTGCCAATGCCGATGCCGATGTCGACGCTGATGTCGTCGTTGTCTTCTTCCTCCTCCTTCTCCTCCTCCATCTCCTCCTTCTCCGCCTCCTCCTGCTCCTGCTCCTCCTCCTCCTCCTCCTGCTCCCTGATGGGGGGGGGAGGGCCAGACCCCAGACCCACCACCGCACGCACACAGGGGAAGATCCCACCACGCCACGCCCACAGAAGTGGGAGGGGGGGGCCAGGGGAGCCTTCGCGCGGGAGGGAGGGCTGGATCATATATCGCCGACGGGTCGGCGATAGGCCCCCGATAGCGAAATCCCACGTTCCTGAGCAGGGTGGTCTTTCGGGCCCCTGTCGGCGATCAGTCGGCGATTGGGGGTCGATGCATTCTCCCCCCCCCCCCCTGACCCTAAACCCCCGATCGTTGCCCTGAGGGTGGCTGAGAACAGCGACACAAGGGCATGAGACCAGCAGGCCGCGTCTTCCTTCCCTCGACAGGCCCGGGGGTGCTCGACTCAGACGCAAGGGCTCCCGACCCGCCTCACACACCCTGCGCACCGCGGCCGCCAGGCCCAGAGCGTGTCGGCGCTCCCTGGATGTCCCGCCTCGGGCCTTCGACGGACGCCGACTGCATGCCGCGGACGCCAGGCCCCAATTGTGTCAGTGCTTCCCGGGTGTCCAGCCTCGCGCTCTCGGGTGGGGATCGCGAGGAGGAGGAGAAGGAGGAGGAGGAGGAGGTCGATGCAATCAATCTTTCCGCCTGGCGGCCCAGCCGCAGTGGGCGAGAGGACGATCTGGCCGACGGGGGCGCCCGCAGCAGGGCCGAGCAGAGGTGCCTCGAGGGGCAACCTTAGGCGGGGGGCCAGCTCAGAAGGGGGGGAGGGGGTAAAGATCGACCCGGAGTCGGCGACACATCGCCGATGGATCGGTGACACGCCCTCCATCATGCATCCAGGTGTTCCTCTGCAGGGCGGTCTACCATGCCCCTGTCGGCGATGAATTGGCGATTGGAGGTCGATGCGTCCCCCCCTGAGCCTGCCCTCCCTTATTCAAGTTGTCTCCGACTTTGGACGCCCAGAACGGAGAGAGAAAGAATGGGTGCGATGTCAGACAGCACATGTTGTCCAAAGCCGACAGCGGCCGCTGTTTGGCGGGCGGCCTTCTGTCTCAAGTGGTCAACGTCCGCGGCGACGCCGACAGCGAGTCCTGTTCGAAATGGGCAAGGAAGTCTGCCAGTCATCGCACCATGTGTACCAATCCAACGAGCCCTTGGGGCTAAGATGGTCGAGCGAAATGTTCTTTCCTCTTCCAAAAACCTCTTCCCTTCCTGGAGGTTTGCCTTCCCCCCCTTCCCCCCTCTCCCTGAGGTTTTTCGGGGCGCGCCTAGAGCGCCCAAAATGGCCCAAGGTGGCTCCAAGAGGGCCCGATGCTCCAAGATGGCTCAAGACAGCCGGCGAAGGTTCAAGATAGCTCCCGACATGCCTCCAAGAGGCCAGACGAGGGCCACAAGACGGCTCCAAGTGCTGTCGGAGCCCCCATCGACATCAATGATTTCTGATTTCTCGCCGTTTCGCTTCCAATACGCTTTTGAAGCCTCACGCTGGCCCCAAGATGTCCCAAGAGAGGTCTACGAGGGGCCCAACAGGCCCGCCAGACGGCCTCGAAAGCGCCCACGAGCGGCCCAAGAGCACCCCAAGATGGCCCCAACTGGCGATTTTGATGGCCCCCAGGGGGGGAGGAAAATTTGACCTCTCCTCTTTTGATCGATGGTCTCCAAGATGGCTCCGAGAGGCCTTGCAGGGCTCCCGAGGGACCCTCAAGAGGGCTACAAGAGGGCCCCAAGACCCCCCAAAAGAGCTCCAAGAAGACCCCAAGATCCCCCAAAAGAGTCCCAAGAGGGCCCCAAGAGGCGATCTTGAGGGCTCTGTCCTCGTCAGAGTCGTCCTCGTTGTCCTCCTCCTCCTCCTCCTCCTCCTCGTCCTCTTCATCCTCGTCCTCGTCCTTGTCCTCATCGTCTTCCTTTGCCTTTTCCTCCTCCTCCTCCTCCTCCTCCTCCTCCTCCTCCTCCTCTTCCTCGTCGTGGTCATCGTCGTTGTCTTCCTCCTCCTCCTCCTCCGCCTCCTCCTCCTCCTCCTCCTCCTCCTCCCCTCGCCCCAACGCGGGCGCCAGGGATGGCCCGAACAGGCTCTCCAAGGCCACTCCGTTGTTCTCAGAGATCTCTCTGTTCACCCTGGTTGGTCGCTTTGTTTCACTACATGTGTCTTTTCGTCCCCTTTCCCGTCAACTCTCATGGGCAAGGTTTTTGAATGGGCTGGTGGGTATGCGCGAAGCGTGAAGAGTTTCAATCGTACCGACTGGTGCCTGCGTCCAACCCTGAGCCTCCCCCTCCCACTAACGTTGTCCCCTGCTTTCGTGTCATAACTCGGCTCTCCGGCGGCTCGGTACGATCTGGGCACCCCCGGAACGCTCTCGGCGAGACGCAACTACTGGAAGGCTCCCCGAGGTTGGAGAACCGCCGAGAACCGACGAATACGCCCGAAAACCTCGAGCCTCGAACCTGAGCATGCGTTCCCAGGGCCGACAAGGAGAACGCGATGCTTCCCAAACTTCCAGCCCGCACGAGGCGCGCGGGCGGGCGCGCCGCCGCCTCGAAGTTCAGCGAGTGCCTCGGCCCGATGCTCAGATCCTGGACGGTGTGCGCCTCCGCAATGGGTGCCGACCGCGGACGGGAAGCCGGCAGCTACAGTCATCGTGCTAACATAAGGATGGCCGGATATGGAACGAAGGGGCAATTCTGGCCACGGCGAGCCTCGGCCACGAACAAGTTCCCCGACCTAGATTTGAGGAACAGCCAGAACACCAAAGTCCCTCCTGAGCCAAAACAGGATTTCAGCATCGTGACTGTCTGAGAACATGGCCGCTCAACCAAATCAAAAGCCAAAAGAACAACAACGACATAAACATAAACTGTCGGAACTCCGCGCGGATTTCTTTAATCAGGGCTGGACCGGGCGGCGCCAGAGGCTTCGCCAGAGGGGCCCAGCGCCGTTCCTAGTGCGGAGCTCCGAAAGCTTGTATGTATGCATTGTTTCGCCTTCGCCCAGCACCGCCCTAGAGGATCAGCTCGCGGGGCAACGAGGACATCCACAGACCTCGTATATGGTTGAGACTCTGGTGCTGAGGTGGAGACATCAAACACGGCTTTTCAACGCGAGCGCCGTTTAATGCCAGCAGTTGTCCAACGAGTCAGATGGTAGAGGATATCCCTACATGAAAATGTGCGTTTGTTTGGTTGTTGGTTTATCTGTGTGTCTCTCTCTCTCTCTCTCTTTACATGTCTCTCTACCTGTGTACATGTGCATGTTTATGTCTCTCTGTATCTTTCTCTCGCTCGCTCTCTTCTGCTTGTGTGAATTATCTTGCTCCCTCTCTCTCTGTCTCTCCCCGAAATACAGATACATATGTATGCATACATAAATATACATATGGCGTCTATACAGATTGTGTTTCTCTTTCTCTCTACATCTACACATGTGCGTTTGTCAAGAATCACCCCTTTCCAGCGCTCTGTCCTGAAGTGACGTATGATGTGCCATACATGCTGTAATTGACAAGGCTCTGAATGGGACACCGAATCAAACAAGGGGCACACAAAGCAGACGCTGTGTGAACGAAGTGGAGCATCTTTTTGGAAATAACACCGACGCGTGAACGCTCGACAAATTTCACCGGAACAAGCAAAGGGTGCAGTCCCGCAGAGCTTGCACCACATGCAGAATTGCTTACACCACGCCACATAGCTCACGCATCAGGGGCGCAAGAAGTCACAACTTTGGGCCCCTGCTGGCCAATATTGGGAAACATCAAGACTTTCGTATGCCTGGGGCCCCTCGTGTGTTTTGTTAGCTTCGCTTCCCGTGAAGCACTTCGCCGGACCTCCCCTGCGCACCGAGCACAACATGCTCCCACTGTTTGCTTCACCTCCCCCAGCTGTCTGTCGTTGGCCTTCCCAATGGTGAAAAAGCCACACAGAAAAAACCCTGGTGGGGTCCTCTCGTGGACCCGTCCCCCTACCTCCCCAAGCTGCATTGCCGACACACACACAGGGCGGCGGACTCGCGCGGCGGCCCAGCTGGATACGGCGAAGATGGTTCGAAGGGGAATCGCAGCAGAGGTACCCGCTTTGACAAGAATGGACATCCGTGGGTCTCGCGGCAGACTCGGTGCTCTCTCGCTGGTATGGCTCTGGGCCAGGCGGCAAAAAATGGAGCGCCAGCGCCTCCGCTCTCACTCAAACTTTCGTCGAGACCGAGTAGCTGCCATGGTCCTAAGCCATTCCCGCGCCGCCGAGAACGACATAATGATGAGCCTAAACGTTTGCGCCTCCCTACGCCATGCCTACAGAATCCTCGATATCATCATATCCGGAGCTCCAACGACCTCCGCAGTGTGTCGATTTGTGACACGACTCCCGAGATGGGCCCCAAAGGTCCAAAGACCTTTGTTCAAGAGCGGTCGCTCACCGTGGGCTTTCAATCATCAGGCAGGAGCGGACAGCATCGAATTGATTATTCGGCTCGGATCGAGAAGTGCATCGAGTCGGCCCGCATCGGCTTGGAGTCGGCACCGGATCGACACGGCCTCGTCAGCATGCACAAAGCGCCTGCAAGCGCCGCTCCGCATCGGATCGACGAACATCATATTAACATCTGATCGTTCCCGCCAAAATCGATATCGAGTCCGATCCAGCGGGTCGAAATGGACCTGGTCGCCGACGCAGAAAACCGATCTGCCTCCGTGCATTTGTCAAACAACGGCCCCCGTACCTCTCGGTGGGCGCATTTTTGCCAGAACTTCGATCCGGATCCAGCCGTGGCAACTCAGGGCGCCTCAGGAGGCCCAAAGAAACCCAGACTGCTTTCCAAAAACGTCGATCCTCGATCCTCCCCCTCTCCTTCCCCCGAGTTTCGACCCTCGGCTTTCCCGAGGCCCTGAGAAGGGCCAAAAGCTTGTTGAAGACATCACAGCAGCTGGATGTTCGAACTGGCGGCGCCCAGGAGGGGCGGGCCGGGGGCGGGGGGCGGCCTCCGAGAAGGCGGGTGGCCTCTTAGAGGGCAGGGGCCCTCTCAGAGAGGCCCGACCGCTTCGATCGAGGAGACGAAAGACTCGGGTTCGGGGGACTCGGGTTGGCCTGGCTAGGCCGTCAGGAAAATGACGAGGCCCAGCCTCGAATCTGACGCGACCTCCCGCTGCAGGCATCATCCGAAGACTGGACCGTAAAAACTCAGGACGTGTCCGCCAGAAAGCGTCGGCAAACCCGCATTCCGGCGAACTCGAGTCTTACGCTTCTCCGAATCCAGAAGCGAAGGCTCCTCAGGAGCCCCCCCCCCGCCAGCTTCGAGGGCCATGGCCGCTCAGGCCGCCTCAGGAGGCCCAAAGAGGCCCAAACTGCATTCCAAAAACCCCGATCCTAGCCCCTCCACCTCTCCTTCCCTCGAATTTCGGCCCTCGGCCTTCCCGAGGCACAGGCAGGGCGGGGGGGTCCGGGGGGGACCGCACGGTCTTGGGACGTGGGCCGTTCTCCGAGGACGTCTCGGGCGATTGGGGCCTCCAGGGTCCCAAAACAGTGGTGTGACGGATCGTGCGGCAAGGCCTCTCGGGATTTCGAGGTCACCGCAAGATCTGTCACCGCACTGTCGGGGGGCGTCCCCCCTGAGACCCGACGCAGCGAGCAAAAACATCGTTTGAAATCACGACTGGGGACCTAGACCACAACTTTCTGCTGTAATTTCGAGCTTGATCGATATGTGAGGGATCCGAAACTCGAGACCCGGCGAAAACGCCCAGCTCGAACAAATTCAGAACAGGATTGACGAACACAAACCCATACCAGACCCACAGGGGGGTCGGAGGCAGGAGGACTCGCTATGGCTATGGGTGCGGACTGTCGGGCCCCGGGGGTAGGCTCCCGTTCGAGCGGGGACCGCCATCCAACAACACGCACCCATAACCCAATCCGTCTCTCCTGTGGATATGTGTGTGCTGCTCGTTCGTCGGGGATCTCGGGGTCGGAGGGCCTCCCCCCGCAGCTGGGCCGCGGCCAATGGACAGGATCCTTGCGCACGGGCGCCCCCCTCCGCAGCGGCAGGCGTGCGTTTCGGACGGAGCCCCCCCCCCCCCTCAAAGGGGGCGCCTCGGACTGCTCCGGCTCACGGAGCGGCGGCGGGGCGGCGGGCGGATCCCAGCGCGGCAGGGACCTCCGCGGGCGCCCCCCCCCCCCCCCACACATCCGACGCATTGAGGAAAACAAAGCGCATGATTGCAAAAAAACGAAGGATTGCAAAAAAAACGAAGGATTGCACGAAGGATTGCAATCCTTCGGTCTTTTTGCAATCCTTCGCTTCGTCGCTCTCCCATGAGATCCGGGCGGTGCGAGCTTTTCACACCGGGCGTTTTCGCCAAGCCCTGAGAATCGAAGCCCTCACATGTCGACTCGGCTCGAGCAGTGCCGCAGAGAGGTCGGGGCTAGGGCTCCAGTCTTGATGCTTCACTATGCTGTGATGTGTCCGCGACGTCGATGCCCTCGCGTGGGCCCACGGACCGTCAACAAAATGACTGGGGATGCAAAGCCGGCCCGAGGTAAGGGGCCAGGACTTCTGGGGGCCCCGCAAGGAAACAAAATCAGGACGTCGGATGTCTGGATCTATGCGAGACCGGAGCGTGGACACGTGCCCGCCGCGAAGTCCTGGGACACCGGACACCAGGAGTCGGTGGATATGGATGTTTCTCTGGGACCCACGGGGGAGCCCGAGCACGTCCAGATCCAGCGCCTTATGAGGTCCAGGAAGATCCGTCCCGCAGGCGGTGGGTCTGCACTAATCGCACCCTCGGAACCAGGGCGGACGAAAGAAGGGGACAGCAAAGAGGGCGTCGGGAAATCAGCTGCAAACTGGTGACATCTCGTTGGGGGGCTGGTTTTGCTTCCGCCGCCTTCCGCCGGCTTCCGCTGGCGGAGACGCCCGCATGTTGCTTCCGCCGCCTTCCGCTGGCCTTCCGCCGAGGAAGACATGTCGAGTTCTTCGACCCTCGGAGGTGAGGCCCTTCCTGGCAGCGCGTATCGTTCGATGCTCGCCGAGTCGGGGCCGCTGGCGGCGTCCAACCTCCCACTCCCGTGCTGGGGCCACCGCTGCGTCGACACGATACGAACCTCATCACCGTACCCCCTCATGCGCCAATCCCGCCGAGAACGCGGACGTGCGGAGGGCCGCCACGGGACGACGACGCCGTCGAATCGGCAAGCGGGCGTGACTTGCGAGAAAGAGCAAAGCAAAGAAGAGGATGCCTATGGAGCGCATTACGTTGGTTACCGTGGTGTCCGTTTTACGCTGTGACGCTTTCTCTGGGCGTGTCCAGCCAGCCTTGGGCCCTCTTGGGCAGTCTTGGGGCTCTCTTGGAGGTCTCGGGGGGCTTCCTGGGGGCCACTTGGACGCTTCTTGGGCCCGTCCTGGGGACCTCTGGGTCATCTTGGATGCTTCTTGGGGCCTCTTGGGGGCCTCTTGGGGACCTGTGGGAGCCTCCTGGGGGTCTCTGTGGGCGGAAAGCTGGACATGTTGGTCCGTGCTCCCTCTCTGGGGCTCCTCTTGGGGCGGTGCTGGATCCTTCTTGGGCCGTCTTGGAGGCCTCCTGGGCCGTCTGTTGGGGCCTGTTAGGCCGCGAGGGAGCCCTCTTGGGGGCCTCTCAGGCCGTCTTGGGGCGACGTTCGGGGCCTCTTGGGGCTGTCTCGGAACTTCAGGAAGCCGAGTAATTAAGCGGAAACGCGGAGAAAGTCGAGGAGCCCTCAGGAAATGGATGAGTTTCGCTTCCCTGTGCCCTCCTGGCGGCCCTCCAGGAGGTCTCCTGGAGCGTCCTGGGCGCTCCTTGGGCCATCTTGAGGCCATCTTAGGTGTCTTGGACCGATCCTTCTGCGACTCGTGGCCCTCTTGGACAATCTTGCAAACCATCTTGGAGCCGTCCGTGCCGCCCGCGAACGCGTCTGCCCAAATGGGACCGACTCTGGCCGTCTTCTGCCGGCGACCCCTCCTCAAGGTCGGGGAAAAACCGGGAGTCTCTCAGAGATGGCGGGCCTGGGCAGTGGATGTGTCAGGGTCTGTGGCCGCTGCAGAGCGCCCCGAGCGCGTGCCAGAACGCCCCGTGGCGCGACTTCCATCACCTTCCTTTTGGGCCTGCCTGACGATCCTCGGCCCTCGCTCTCGACGACGTCGACGAGGATCGGAGGAGAGCCCATTGAGACACCGCCCTCGAGCTCACGTCCGTTCGAAGACGGCCCCCTGAGCCCTGCCGAGGTGCATACAGACCCATCTCTCGAGGCGGATCCCCCTCGTGGCGACGAGCAGCCCCCCAGAACGCCCAAGAGAGCGACGGAGAGCGCCGGGAGGGCCGCAAGCTGTCTCGCGGGGCCTGCCTGACTGCAAGGCGGCGGGGTATACCTACATCCCTCGTCGAAATTGAACGCAAGTTTTAGCCGCGACCTGGCGGCACCCCCCGACCCCCAATTTCAATGTTCACGCCGACGCCGGCGCCTTCGAGATTTTCTTCGGACCCCGCAGGCCGCGATGCGCCTGTCGATGAACATTGAAATTTGGGGGCGACGGGGGTGGAAAAAAACTTGCGTTCAATTTCGACGAGGGTTGTAGCGCCTGCGAGGTCGAACTTCGGGGGCCTCGGCAGGCGGTGAATATGGATATAGTTGCCCCCCCTTGGGCTCGAGTATATCCATATCCGCCGCCTGCCGTGGACATACCCTGAAGGTATACCCCGAGTATGTTACATAATGCTTCCGAATTCCCACCGAAGATCCATCCTCCAGGCGATGGGGATGGACAAATCACAGCCCCCGGCCGACGATCCTCGATCCTTGAACTCCACGTCGCCGACGACGACCGAGCCTCACCCTCGATCCTTGAACTCGGTCCTCGAACGAGGTACTTATTGTCGACGACGATCCTCGATTCTCGATCCTCGAACTCCACATCAGCGACGAAGGCCGAACGCCCCGTATGAGCCCCCCGACGGGACCCCTGCGACTGCCGCGGCGCCGCACCGCTGGCCGTCCAGGCCCCGCCGATCGCCCGCTTCAGCTCGGGCGCTGGCGCCGGCAGCTGCGCCTCGAAGGGTTCGGCGTGGAGCTCGGCGATGAAGTCGTCCTCGGGCACAGCTGCGAGGCGGGGACGTATCTATAACCACCGCCTGGGGGGATCGAGAGCTCTGGGGGCCTCGGCAGGCGGTGGACACGGGTACTTATTAAGAACAATTCTACATATAGAAGAACACATTCGTAGACATACGTATACGTATACATATATTTAGATACTAAGTAAACCAGATCCCATATTCAAGAAAACTAACCTGATACAACTCAGGGTGCGTCTGGGCAGTCTGAGTCGCGAGCGCCCCAAGAGGGCCCAAGACGGACCCATATGGCCCCAAGACGGCCCCGGAGGACCCCAGGAGGCCTCAGGAGTGCCCGATGAGCGCCCCAAGGCGGCCACGATGGGCCCAAATGACCCAAGGCGGGCTCAAGATGGCCACTCGACGACCCAACGGGCTCCCAAGATGGTCTGAGGGGGCCCGAAGACGACTCCAACGAGGCCCCCAGCAGGCGCAAGTCATGGGTTTTCCTCAAGTGTTGGTGCAATGTTCGCATACTCGGCTTCTCGGTCTCCAGAGCGCTCGTGTCGGCCGAAGAGGCCCCCGAGATCGCTGAAAGATGACACAGTAGGCAGAGGGCCCAAGACGAACCCAGGACGGCCCAAGAAGGGCCTAAGACGGCCCCCAGACAAGACGGCCCAATGGAGCACAAAGACAAACCAACAGGGCTCCCAGACCGCCCCCAAACAGCCCCAAGAGGCCACAAATAGGGACCAAGACGGCCCCAGAGGGCCCAAGAAGGCCCAGGCGGCCCCCAAGACGGCCTGAAAACGGCCTCAAGACACCCCGAAGAGAGCCCACTCGGGACCCTGCATTAATACGGCGACAGGCATATATATATATATATATATATATATATATATATATACACATATTTTTATAGATATACATAAATATATGGCAGCGTGTACCCTAAAAGTTCTGTTTCTAGGAACGCACATTGCACAGTGCATGTTGTAAAACCAGAGTGACGCAAGCTGTGTGGTGCAACCTATGTGGTTAGAGGTGGTGCAATCTAGGTGGAGGATTATACGTGGGGCAATACACGTGGTACAATATATGTTGTGCACTCTATCTTGCGTCATGCAAGGTGTACAATATATGATGCGCAATATATGTTGTGAAATCTATATGCAGCAATCGATGCTGCGCAACCAATATATGTTGTGCAGTCTAGGTGGTACAATCGATGTGATGCAACATGCGTGGTACAACAGATGTGGCGCAATATATGTTGTGCAATAGATGCTGTAAAATTTACGCTGCGCAAAATGTGTGGTGCAGCGTAGGTGGTGCAGTCTAGGCTGTGCAATCTGTATATATACATATATATATATATACATACTAGAGCCATCGCGCGCTTCGCGCGCGCTCAAGTTCTAGCCAGGCTTGATCGGCTACCTCATGTAATCTCATGTTGGTCGCTTCTTGCGTCCAGGGACTCCCTTGGAGGCCCTGCGCAAGCCTCGGAATCGTATAGAAGGGGAAATGCGGAAACGCAGAAATCATGAATCCCTCTCAGGTATTCAACGATTTGGGGCCCTCAAAGGCTTCATGGGTTCTTTTCTGGGAGGTGAGGGGGGTCTGAATGGTGGTCTGCTGTGCAAGAGTTGACCGGGGGCCAAACTTGGGAGAAAAAAGGATTTGTGGGATTTCAACTTTTTTCCAGTTCCTCGGCGCTGTTCGGCGCTGTTTTCTGTTTGTGCCTTGCGGGTTTTGTTAGCCGGGCCCCTCAGGGGTGTGGGATCTTCCAGACCCCCTGGGGGTTCTGGAGGCCTCCTGGAGGCCTGGAGAGCCGTCGGAAGGGTGTCTCGGGCTGCGCGGGAGCGTGTTGGGCCGTTCTTTACGTTCTGGGGGCTCCTTGGGGTCGTCTTGGGCTGTCCTTGGGCGTCTTGGGGGCCCCCCGGGAAGCCGGGAGGCGCGGTACCGGCCAGATGTCAGGGGATGTATGGGATCTCCGGGTAGGAGTCCAGTTTGAAAGAAAATGGGATTCTTGGAATTCCCTTTTTTCCAAAATCCTCGATCTTCGAGGGTTTGAAGCGGGAACGTGAAGGGCGCAAAACATTAGACAAACACTTGGAAATCAACGATTTTACCCTCTGTGGGCTCTCTCGGGACGGCTCTCGCAGCTCTCTTGGGCTGTTCTCGGAGCCTCGTCGGGGTCTTTTTGGGGCCTCTCAAGGATCGGGGGTATGTTGGGGGCCTCTGGGGGGTCCCAAAGGCCTCTCGGAGGTCTCTGGAAGCCTCCTGCTCCCGTTCTTGGGCCCATCTTGGGCCTGTTCTGGGGTGATCTGGGGCTGTCCTGGGCGGCTCTTCGGCAGTCTTGGAGCCTTCTTGGCCCGTCTTGGGGCCGTCCTGAGGGTCTCTTGGGTGGTCTTGGGGCGGTCTTGGGAGCCTCTTCGGCGCTCTTGGACCGTTGGAAGCTCGAAAACGCAAGAAGCCAAAAACATATGAAAAACAATGAACATCGACGATTTTGGCCTCTTCGAGCCCTCCTGGAGCGCTGTGGAGGCTCCCCGGAACGCCCTGGGGAGCGGTACCGGTAGCGTCCCCCAGATGTGGCGGGGAGGTGTGGCACTCGGGGCCGGGGGGGGCGGTATTTACTTTATATATCTACATATATATATATATATATACATATATACACATATGTACGTATATATATATATATATACACATCCGCTGGCCCCCTTGTGGGGCCACCAGGCTGTAGGGTGAGGACATGCGGCGCCCTCCACCAGTTGCAGTTTCAAGTCTCCGATGTCACAATCCTGCCTTCTCCTTCCTACTGTAAATTATTGGGGCCCAAATCGGCACTTCACCACGCCCAAATCGAGGCCAGAATCCCTTGAAGATTACACAATGCTCGCGTCCCCGAAGCCACAAATCTTTGCAAAGGACTCCGTACTCGCGTCCCCGAAGCCATAATCATTCTTAAGTTATACGGTATTCGCGTCCCCGAGGCCACAAACCCTAGCAAGTCATATAATTCTTGCATCCCCGAGGCAACACGCCCTCGCAAATTATGCGCCATTTGCGACCCTGAAGCAATAATCGTTTGCAAATTACAATATTCGCATTGCCGAGGCCAAGAGTGCTCCAAGGTGCCCGAAGATGGTTCCAAGACGGCCTGAGAGGGCCCCAAGAGGCCCCAAGAGCGCTCCAGGAGGCCTCCCGAGAGAGCCCCACGAGACCAAAGTCTCAGATTTGACGGTGGTGTTTGAAGGATGTTTGGTTTCTCGCATTTTCGGCATTCCGACGCTTCAAAGCAACTCAATAAGCCCCCAAGACCGCCCCAAGACAGCCCAAGAAGACTCCAAGAGGGCCCCAAAACGGCCCAAGAGAGCTCCAAGATGGCCTAAGAAGCGCTCCGAGAAGCCCCGAGAAGCCCCCAGGAGGCCCCAAGTGGCCGCCAAGAGGCCCCAAGAGGCCGCAAGAGGCGCCCAAGACGCGCCCACGAGCCCTCCAAGAGGCCCAAAAGATACCCCACGAGGCCCCAAGAGGCACCCAGGAGGCGCCCAAACCGCCTCGAAGAGGCCCCCGAGAGGCTCCCCACGACCCTCCAACACATATACATATACAAGAGGCCTCAGACCCACAGCCCAGGCACGGTGGCGGGATGGGCCGAAGGCCACTACTACCCTCGTCAAAGTTAACCCCAAAAACGGCGAACACGCCCCTGCGATGTCGGCGCGCCCTTTAATGTCGATACGACGCCACTCCAATGTCGCGGCCAGGGCAAAGGTGGTCTAACCGGGAACGACTCGGAGGTTCGATGACGACCGACATTGGAGAGGCGGCGCATACAAGTACCTCGCAGTCATCGCTACTCTGTCCAACATCTCCTTACAAACAGTTCAGCCACGTAAGGCATTTTTGAAGTTAATTTTGACGAGGGTTGTGAGATCCGCCGCCCCATGTTGGCTTGCCATAGGGGTACCCGGCGTGTTAGACCCTACCGGTTTTGGTTCTGGTTTTTTGATCCGACAGAACTCTCCCCCGGGGCTCCGGCCCGTCCCGCCGGCCACCCGAAAGGACCCAGAAGGCGTCGAATTTCCATAACAAAAAACCCAAGACGGTTAACATGGCTTTCGAGACTGGCAAAATGGCCCAAGATGGCCTCCAAGATGCCTCCAAGATGGCCTCCGAGACGGCCCAAGAGGGTCCAAGATACTCCCCAGTCCGCTCGAGAAGTCCCCAAGACGGCCCAAGACTTGCCCAAGAGGTGCCAGAGAGGCCTCCAGGACGCGCCTGCAGAGCTTCAGGCCCCCCCGCGGAGCTCGAGCGCACGGCGCAGCTCTGAGCCGTCGCCACGGGCGGTGGAGGGCCGCCCTTCGGGCGCCGCATGAGCGGTTCGGGGGCGTCGTCGGGCGTGCCTCGCCCTCGCTCGGACGTCCACTTCCTGTGTGTTTGTTCGGTTGCGAGCCTTGCTTTCCGCAGGAGAAGCCAGGAAGCTCCTCGATGGTCCTCGCCGGGAAGAAACGCGCACGCCCGAACGATGCCAAGCTGTGGGTCGTCGCCACCGGCGGTGGAGGGTCGCGGCTTCTTCGGTCGCCTGCCTTATGGGCGGTTCGGGCGAATCTTCGGGCGTGCTCTGGGGGGGAACCCTACCCCCCCAATCATCGATCTTCCCGAATCAATGGGGTTCGGGGGTAATGATCGGATTTCGTCACGTGTTCGACGAATTCCGAACCCTACCCCCGCCGCCCATCGAGTTACTCGAGTCGATGATCGCCGAGGGTGGGGTTCTGATTTCGCCGCCGAGGGGAAGGCATCGGAGAGCAAAAGCAGAGTCAGCGTCACGCCGTCCGGACGACCCCATAAGCGCGCTACTGCTGAGGAGGCACAGGGCATTTCCGGGTACACGTAAGAATGTCCCCAATTAGGCAAGAGTGATCTGACCTTTGGTGCACGGCTCTAGGGGGCCGCGGGGAGGCCAAACCCAAGCGAGCGGGCCAATGCTTTGGGCACCCCTGTGGACCCGCACCAATGGTCACTCAGGCGAAGGGTCACCTAGCCGACGTTTGCACAAACAGCGCAACTGGAGAGGCGACGCGCGCGCCACTGAGCCACTCACGTGGCCCTTCGGGGTCCCGGGGGGGAGTCCGCCTGCCCGCATGCAGAGGCGCTGCGCTGCTCGGGGGGCAGAGCGCGCTCCGGCAGCCACGGCCCTCCAGGATGACTTATGCGGGGGTCTGGCGCGCCAGCAGCGGCCCTCGGCCTGCAGGGCCAACGAGGCCGCAGCAGGGGCGCTGGTAAGCGGGACATAAGCGAAGAGGAGGAGAGAGGGGGGAGAAAGGAGGAAGAGGGGAAGGGAGGAGGAGGAGGAGGAGGAATCGGAGAGCGGGGAGCAGGAGGAGCAGCGGGAGGGTCAGGAAGCAGAGCCGCTGGACCCCGCTCCCCGGGCCCTGTGAGACTGCACGGGAGGATGGGTGTCCGAGAACGCTGGAGGCACACGCGCGGCTGGATTCGCGCGGGGAGCACGCGGGAGGCCGCCCGCTGGATGCACACGTGGGGGGGGGGCCACCGTGCCTGGCCACAGAGTGGCCGAGCACTGGAAAGACAGCTCCTCGGGAGCCCCCCGACCAGGACACTGAACATTCCAGCTGGAGAGAACGACGAAGAGCTGGGAACGCTTCGACCCACGGCCGCAGTTTTCTCGGGCGCACCAGTGTCCTGGTTTGTCAAGGTCTCCGCTCATGAGGCATACGAGTATCCAGGTCTCGCCCAAGCCGGCGGCGTCAATTGAATCCAGCATCCTGGTATTGTAAGTATCCGGTCCCACTCTGCGGGAGACCTTGGGCCCGATCGCTCTGAGGACGGGATGTTCAGGGGCGGCCCTGGGGTTGGGGCAGTGCCACCAGGAGTCAGGCACGGGTGCGTAATCATATTGCTGCCGTCGCCAGCGTCATGCATCGATCACTGGTGGAAGTGGCAATCGTCTGGCGATGGAAATCTGTGATATTGAAACTAGCAGCGAAACCTCTGAGGCTCTCTGGCAGTCGGGCGGCGTTCCTGCTGCCGTTTCCAGGCCCCCGACCCCCGACGTCGTGATGACTTGGGCGTTGACTTCTGCCTCTCCGTGGATCGTGCCATCTGAAACGGTCGCCGCGTTTCCGACAAATCGCTTCAGGCAGGCCGAGCTCAGACAGCAAGCGAGTTCAGCCCTGACTACCCGCGCTGCCGTCGCCGCAGCGTCGACGCGGCGTGAACCTGCCGTACACAGACCCCGGACGTCGTGATTGCTCCACAGCGTGAACCCACGGAGCTCTCGCCTCGTTACCCAGCGGATGTCGAAGCCTGGCGAGGGCCCCCAGAAGCCGAAGAATGCAAAAAATAAAACTGAGTCGTGATTGTCTCACGACGCGAGGGCGTCTGAGTTCCAAGGACCATAATCGACCCCTGGGCCTGTCATTGGGTGCTCTCTGGACAGAATATCGACAGGAATCCAACCGTGGCCACAAGAACTCCCTATCTGTCCCAACAAGGCCCGAAAACGCCGATCCCTATCCTAGAACCTCGTCCGGGACCCTGTCTGCGTGTCCCCGACCCCACCCGAGCTCCTGGATGTCCTCTTCCGTGACCACGGGTTCGCTGGCCGATGTCCACGGCCCGGCTGCGCCAGCCCGAACTCGCAGGCGGCTGTTGTCCTGGAGGAAGCAGGACGAGGCGGAGGAAGAGGAGGAGGAGGAGGAGGAGGAGGAGGAGGAGGAGGAGGAGGAGGAGGAGGAGGACTACGAGGTGGATGATCGACGATCGAGGTTCGAGTCTTGAGGCTTTCGGCAATGCTTCGCCGGTTTCGTGTGTCCTAGGGACCCCTCGTCGCAACGGCTGGATACCCCTCGAAACTCTTGTCCGACCGCACCCTTGGAGGACAGGGAGGAGAATGACAAGGATCGGCACTCGGTTTCAGCATGGCGATGACGCAGGTTGACGCGACGTGGCGCACAAGCCAGGCATATTCGCGACGTCGCTGGCTGCCGTCGGCGACGGCAACCTGCTGCAGCAGGAGTGAGCAGGGCGGGTTGGAGGTGGGGGCATAACCTCGAGTTCTCGGGCAGTGGCGGCGGCGCGTGCATATTGACAAGTGGCCAGACGTGTTTGTTGATGGGTTTCACCCTGTTGACGTGCAAATGCAAAGCATCACGTTGCCTTGACGTGGTAAGAGTGCACGCGGAACACGAATACCTGAGTGACAGCCTTGGGCTGGGGGACATCAATGTGTAGAAATGATGGGATACAACAGGAAGTATGTAAGGGAATCGCACCACCGACCAAATGCACAACATGCCTTGGCATGGTCAAGGGTGCGTTTTGGTAACGCACTGCTCCCACGGCTCACCATGATGCTTGCGTACATGTCTGCGTACATTCATATATACATAACCGTTGGTGCGTTCGTGTATCAGTGGGATGCTGTGTCAGTGGTGGTACGAATCTTACTAGCTTGCAGTTGACGATGTGGCACGTACGCCGCGCGCCAACCTCTTTGGAACACACATTTCGTGACCTCAACGACTACGTGTTGGCCACCCAGCTCCCCTACCAAAGCCCTTCTGCACCCATCCCGCTGGAGATGACCTTCGGACGATAGGAGGACAGAAGGAGAGGGGGGGAGAGAGGAGGAGGGAGAGGAGGAGGAGGTAGGAGGGGATGATCTTACGATTACAACAGGCGCACCAATGCCACGGAGGAGGAGGAGGAGGAGGAGGAGGAGGAGAAGAAGGAGCAGGAGGAGGAGGGGGAGGAGGGGGAGGATGAGAGGGGAGGGGAGGCGCGGGCCCTCATCCTTAGGATCGCACCTGGCGCACCTGGCGCAAAGGATAACGCTATGCATTGTAGTCTCGAGCGCTACTTTGCGAATGGGGGCAGGTGACATTGATCGTGACAGCCATCATCGTTGTTTATTTGCTGTGCGTTTGAAGTGTTGCTTTACGCGTAGTGTGCGAAGACCGTTGACATGACCAGATCCAGTATGACAGGTCACGATTTTGTTAGACCCCATGTGGCATCTCGGTGCTATAAATATGTCCAAACTCAAATCCACTGAATGGACCTATCCACCCTGTGGGGCCACGGGTGAGAAAGAACATTCGTGTGTATATGGAAAATGCACGCGCGTGTTTACGTGTCTGTGTATGTGTGTTGTGGTGGCAGTGATGACGACGATGGTCTGGCCGTTTTTGCGGTGCCTGGAGTGTTCACGAGCCGCAGGTCTGGAGCACCTCCTTCACAGAGTTGATGATGGACAGGAACGCCCGAGCCTTGAGAGACGCACCGCCCACGAGGAAACCGTCGATGTTCGGCTTGGAGCAGAGCTCCCGGCTATTGAACTGGTTGACGGGGCCGCCGAACTGTATCCTGACGGCGTCGCTGACCTTCTCCGACACGCGGTCTTTTAGCCACTGGCGCAAGTACGCGTGCACCTCCTCCGCCTGCTCCGGCGTTGACACCTTGCCTGTGCCCATGGCCCAGCGAGGCTCGTAGGCGAGGACAACCCGATCCCAGTCCGCCTGCGAGGGCGGGGCGGAGGGGGGGGGGCACAATCGGGCCGAGAGCCTCGTGGCGAGCGGGGGGGAGGGGTGTACGCTGAGTCACCGTGCTGCCACGAACAACACTGAACAAGGGGCGAAAAGGATTCTTCTGGCCACGCCGAGCTTCGGCGAGCAAGCTCCCTGACCTGGATCTGCGGAACGGCCACAAAAGCCCAAACAGCTCCTGAGCCCAGCATGGTCCTTACTTCCGCGTCGTGGCTACAGGTGCTCGGATAGGACGCTCCTTGCCTGCAAGAGGCGTCTCCGCAAGGAAACGCCCCTGCCCAGCCGATGTCCAGGCGCGGGCGCACCGACGAACGAGCGGACCCCCCGTGAGCCAGCCCCTGACCCTCGGCCACGCGGGGCAGGAGCGGCTGTGAGGACCTGACAAGACCGGGAGTGGACTCGGACGGGGCAGCGTCCTGGCCGGGCAGGGCTTCACTTGAGGGACGAAATAACGACCCTACCCTGGTTCACAAGTGCGTGGTCTGTAAACCTCCTGGGAACCCCCAAAGCCTAGAGCCGCCAGGACGCGGCACATCACGCAGGGTTTACCCTGTCAGCCCACAGGAGTTTCAGCGCACAGCGCCTCGTAAACCAGGGTAGGGGCGTTTTTTCTGCCCTTGATTCACACCCCTCCCCCCTCGGGCCTCCGCGAGGGCCCCCGCGATGTGGCTCATCTGCTCGTCCAGGACGTCGAAGGTCTTGTCGGCCTCCCTCTCCTCCAGCCGCTCCCCGACGCACACCATGGCCCTGAGCCCGTTGTCGACCGCGCACCGCGCCTTCAGAGCCACGACGTCGTTGGTCTCGCCGCAGTTCTCGCGGCGCTCGCTGTGGCCCACAATCGCCCACCGCACGCCCATGTCCGCGAGCATCATGGCCGGGATCTCACCTGTCCACGCGCCTGGGGGCTGCGGCCACACGTCCTGTGCGCCGACCTCAGAGGAACAAGCACTTGCAAGACTAAAACCTTTCGGAGGCCGGCACGGATTTCTCGGATCGGCGCTGACCCCCCTTCCCTAGCGCGCGGAGCGCGCCAGGGGACGTCAGCGCAGATCCAAGAGGTCCCCGCGGACCTCCGACAGTTTGATGCTTATGCCGCTTGCTGTTCCTCGAGGCCTCGAAGTCGCCCCGCAGCTCGCGCTGGACCTGGCTGGCGGCGGGCTCAGGGGGGCATGCGGAGGGCCTTCCGATTAGTGTTATGACACTGAGCCTTCTCCGAAGACAGGGACGGCTTCTCGGAAGGCCTCGATGCCTTCCGAGAAGGCCTGCCCCCTCTCCTGGGTGCGCCGCCGACCTGGGCGAGGTACACAAAGGGCGGCGCGCAGACGACCTGGACGTCCTCGGGGGCGGCGAGGTCGAGCTTGCCGTCGTTGAGCTCCCTGAGGCAGGGTGGGGCTCCGCAAGCGCCCACCTCCTGGGTCACCGGTGCCCTGGGACCCCACGCAGGGACCATCGGGGAGGCAGTGGACCTCCTCGCTGGAGGTAGCACTCCTGGTGGCGGTGGCGTCGCTCCCCCTGCCCGCGGCCCACGGGGTTGTGGGCACAGATACAGCTGAGGGACCAAAAGAAACTGGTCTTACGCTAGAAGAAATAAAGACCCTACGCCGCGGCTTACGCGGGCCGCCACCATGGCACTTATGCAGGAAGCTCGCGCGCGAATCTCCGCGCAATCGACCCCCTGTTTTTCCGTCGCTCATTTGGGCCCCCAGGGGGCGGTGGGTACCCAGACAGCCGACAATGTGATTTGACAACGGGCGTGTTTTCTTCGATCTCAGCTCTCGGGGGCCTTTCTCTGGGCACCAGGGCTATAACAAAAAATTCCCAGAACGAAGAACTACTCCCAGGGAGGCGGTCGGGACATCTGGGGCCGCGGAAACATTCAGATCTAGTTCGGCCAAAACTGCACATATAAGCATAATTTCTGAGATCCGTGCGGACTTCTTGGATCGGCGCTGGACCCCCCTCCCTGGCGCGCGGAGCGCGCATTTGGCGGCGCTGAAGGCGCCGCCATTGGGGCTCAGCGCCGTTCTTTGAATACGGCGGGTGTCAGGGTATGGACATATTCTCGCCTCAGGCGGCCCGAACAGATCCACACCCGCTGCCCGCCGAGGCCTGGGTGGAGTTCGGGCTCCCAGGCGGCGGACTTGGATAAATCCTAGACGCCGACGGCGCCGATGCGTCTGCGTTGAGGCGCGATCCTCCGATCCCATCTACTCGGACCCCATCTGGGAGGACTAGGATCTCAGGGCTTGGCGGCCTGGGCCAGCCGCGCGGCCCCTGGAGGTCTGAGGGAGCGCGTTTCACGGGCGCTTGCCTTGGAATCATTCGGCGGCGCGTTTCGGCGCTATCGAACAGAACCAGGGGGACTCCCCTCCTCCCTCTCCCCCACGGGGGGGAGTGGGGTTCGAATTCCCCCCCCCGCCCCCCAGCGCCGGCGGCGGCTGGCAGTTCCGACTCCCACACCCACACCCACACCCACACCCGCGCCCACGCCCACGCCCGGCCCAGGCCCACGCCCACGCCCGCGCCCACGCCAACGCCCACGCCCACGTCAACACTCACACGCACGCCCACGCCCACACACGCGCCCACGCTGACGCCCACGCCCACACCCACGCCCACGCCGACGCCCACATCCACGCCAACGCCCGCGCCCACCCCTACGCCCACGCCCACGCCCACGCCCACAGACCCACACCAACGCCCACACCCACGCCCAGGCCCAGGCCCAGGCCCAGGCCCAGGCCCACGCCCGCGCCCACGCCCACACTCGCACCAACGCTCACACGCATGCCCACGCCCACGCCCACACCAACGCCCACGCCCACCGTCCACACCCACGCCGACGCCGACGCCGACGCCCACGCCCACGCCCGCGCCCACGCCCACGCCCACGCCCTCGCCCAAGTCCACGCCCACGCCACGCCCACACCGACGCCCACGCCCACACGCACGCCCACGCCCACACCCGCACCCACGCCCACACCCACGCCAACACCCACATCCACGCCCACGCCCACGCCCACACTCACGCCCAGGCCCAGGCCCAAGCCCACGCCCACGCCCACGCCGACGCTCACACGCACGTCCACGCCCACACCCGCGCCCACGCCCACGCCCACCGCCCACACCCACGCCCACGCCGACGCCCACGCCCACGCCTACGTCCACAACCACGCCCAGGCCCACGCCCGCTCCCACACCCACGCCCACTCCCGTCCCCGGTCAGGCCAAGGCCTACGCCCACGCTCACGCCCAAGCCCACACCCACACACACGCCCACGCCCGCGCCCACGTCCACATCCGCGCCCAGGCCCAGGCTCAGGCCCAGGCCCAGGCCCAGGCCCAGGCCCACGCCCGCGCCAACGCCCACGCCAACGCTCAAACGTCAACGCTCAAACGCACGCCCACGCACACACCCGCGCCCACGCCCACGCCCACACCCAAGCCCACGACCACGCCCACGCCCGCGCCCACGCAGACGCCCACGCTAACGCTCACACGCACGCCCACGCCCAACCGGCGCCCACGCCCACGCCCACACCCACGCCCACGCCCACGCCCACGCCCACGCCCACGCCCACGTCCACGCCCACGCTTACGCCCGCGCCCGCGCACACGCCCACGCCCACTTCCGCGCCCACGCCCAAGCCCAGGCCCAGGCCCCCCCTCGCACGCTGGCGCCGGCGCAGGCTCGGGGGGGAGGCCAGTTCCACCCCCCCCGCGCTCCAAGCGCCCACAGAACTCGCTTTTTTAGAGGTCTCCACCCATTCCAAGGACCAGCACTTTATCCTGAGTAGTTTTTCGACGGTCCCGGGGCTCGGCGAGGGCCCCCAGAGACCGAACGCGACCAAAAACCTCCCGTCGCGATATTCTTCACGACGCGAGGGGACCTGGACAGATCCCTGCCTCGGGCCTGACTAGCCGGGACATGCTCTCGGGCGTGCCGTTCGCCTTCCAATTGCCTCCGATCACGAACCTCGGGCGCGGCCCAACCGACCCCCATCAAACCATCGCCCTCCGTGACGCCATCCTCGGCCTTTCGGCCCCCCCCCGGCCGCATACAGACGTCCTGGGGTGAGGCGAGGGGGACGCCACGGAAGGGGCATGGCTCGCCGGGGCCGCCCCTGAGAACCGCCGCGCCGCGCGCGCGACCGCCGCGAGGCCCGCGGCGCGGCCCCGCGGGTGCCCCGCGCCCGCGAAGCCCGCGGGGGGCGCCGGGAGCAGGCCCTGCGGCAGCAGGCCGAGGAGGCAGGCGCCCGAGCACCGGCCACGCGCGGGAGCGGCCCCGCAGCCCTCCCTCGGTGCTCCTGGATCCTCCTCGAGCCTCCTCGATGCTCCTCGAGCCTCCCCCTCAATGCTCCACAGTGTTCCTGGAGCCTCCTCCTCCTCCTCCTCCTCCTCCTCCTCCTCGTCATCCTCGATCCTTCTCGATTTATCCATGTCCGCCGCCTGGGCGCCAGGTCTTCCCCGGGCCTTGGCGGCGGCGGGTATGGATCTGCTCGGGCCACCTGGGGCCAAATGATGTCCATATGTGCCTCTTGACATCCGCCGATGCGGCGAGGGCGTTGGATGAGGTACCCTCGGACAAGGAATCCAGGGTCTGGAAGCCGGTGGACCTCCAGCTGTGGAGTGGCCATGGATTTCACCGCCGCCCTCATCGGATCAGGAATCCTCCAGAGTCGGAAGTCCCCTGGTCACATTCCTGCACCACCGCCCCCGCCGTATGCTTTTGTCAACCGCGGCGGTTCTCCTCAATCTCGGCCTCCGGGACCCGTTTTCAAGCCCCGGGCCCCCCCAGGGAACCGGTTGGGACCTCCAGGACCGCGGATTGCAAACATCAGAGCAGCGGATGTCAGGGATCGCGCAACCATGAAGAACGCCAAATGGCCGACCCTGGAAACACTGACCCTAAAAATGATGGCATGCCACTTCTACTTCTGCCGCCGAATTTCCGCCGGCAGAACCGCCACCCTTCTACTTCCGCTGGCCTTCCGCCACATTTCGCCGTGGACGCGAATCGCCGAAGGCGAGGCCGCTTCTGGAACGCGTCAAATGAGGAGCAAACGAAAGGCTTTCTGGCCACGGCGAGCCTCAGCCACGAAAGGGCTCCCAGACGTACACTCGTCGTGCTGCCATGCAGAACGCTGAATAAGGGAACGAATGAACTTTTCTGGCCACTGCGAGCCTCGGCCACGAATAACCGCATCAAGCAATTAAGGACTCCCCCCCCTCTCCGGAGAAAGTACAACGCACCCGGCACACCAGAAGCGTTACCCTGGCACCTCGCACCTTTATGTGAACGCAGACGAGTCTGCTCGCCAAAACAAGCAAACCTTCTTCTTATGAGTCTTATTATTATTCGTATTAATATTGTTCTCCTTTTTCTTGTCATGAATCCGAGCTAAACAGAAAAAATCATCCTCCTGCTCATCCTCCTCAAGACTCCCTTACGGCACGGCACCAACACGAACAACGACAATAATACCAGCAATAAGAATTATATCTAGAACAACTCGGCCAAAAACAGCAACACCAACAACAAAATCAACATCAAAAACCAACAACACCGCCAACACCAACAATAACAACAACACTAAGTCCCACGCAAGGGAGAGCCCAACTTTGAAAAGGAACCGTCCGTGCCTACGATGGGGGGCGAATCATTTTGGCGGTGCGGGTGCTAAGATAACGCGCCGGGCGTGGCTGGGGCGATATCCTCGGATGCACTACCCCACACGACGGCCGGGAAAAAACAATGTTTCAATAGGGGTGGTAATAAGAATCGTGCAGGACAAGGATGATCAAGAAAATGAGAAAAAGGAGGGAGGGAGGCAGGGGAGCCCGTCTGTTTTCGGATTTCTATTCTTACGGTGATCCTTACTCTCATTCGTCTTCTCAATGTTATTATTCGTATTATTCTTATTTGCATTCTTAGTCGTATTATTTGTCTTATTGTACCTCTTATCTTTTTGGACAAGCTGTCGTAATTAGTTTGTGCGGGTGCGGTGCTAAGATAACGCGCCGTGCGTGGCGGGGGCGATATCCTCGGATGCACTACCCCACACGACGGCCGGGAAAAGCATTTTTTCAACAGGGGTGGTAATACAAATCGTAAAGGACAAGGATGGTGAAGATAATGAGAGCAACTCTGATTCTTATTATAATTCGTCTTATTATTGGCATGCTGATTTGATTATTATTGATTCTTATTCTGATTCATAGTACCATTATTATTCGCATTAGTAATCATATTCTTATTCTTAATATTATTATTAATATTATTCGTAATCGTATTAATATTCTTTTTTCTGAGTATGCTCATTAGTCTTGTTCTTATTCTTACTATTCGTCTTATTCTTACCCTTATTCATATTATTAGTCTTACATCATTATTACCATTATCCTTATTCGTATTATTTGTCTTCTTATTATCATTGTTCTTACTCGTACTTCACTCTTCTTCTTATTCAGTTCCAACTCGAATACCACCCGAGCCGGGGCGCGGGAATTATTTACTTTCGTTCCATTTGCGCGGTGCTACTCCTATCGTTCGGCGAAAACCACCTCCCATCAAAATTTAGTTACGATGCGGTGCTAATGATAACCCCGGGGGGGTCCTTAATGGCTTCTTGCGGTTAACAACATCTCCCGACGTAGATCTGAGGAACGACCCGAAAACTAGAGCCCCTCCTGAGCCCACAGTTGTCCTGCTTTCAGCGTGTTGATTGCACTTCTTGAGGAGTAGCCAGGGAAACGGAGCACTTTCTGAACCCGAAGCGGTTCTCATCTTAGCATCGCGGCCCGCGGCCCAGGAGCCAGGCCCGCGAGGCCGCGGATACAGCTATGTTTTTCGCCCACGAGACTCGGGCACCTACTGGAGCGCTCTCGGCGAGGCGCAGCTGCTGGAGCGCACCCCGAGGTTGGAGAATCTCCAGGACATGGCGAGAACGCTCGCAAACATGGAACCTCCCCAAGCATGCGACGTCGCGTTTGTTGTTCAATGCGCGGCCCACGGAAATCCACACCCATGGGCCGGTTTTTTATACAGAGACGTTCTTGGACGGGCGAGGGTCCCTGGAGGCCGAAAACTGCCCAAACCCTGCCGTCGCGACTTCGCACCACGACGCGAGCATTTCTGGGTCAATCCTGGCCCTCGCTCCCGGTGCAAGAACGTTAAGGGGGACCAACTCAGGGGGAGAAACATCGACTCGGAATCGGCGATGCATCGGCGACCAGTGATCGGATTGCGGTCGATGCATCCCTGAGCCTTATGCCCCCCTGACGTTGCACCCCGGCTTGCGGGTCCGGGCACCCCCCAAACGCTCTCGGCGAGGCGCAGCTGCGGGAAGGCACCCCGAGGCTGGAGAAGCGCCGAGAGCCCACGAAAGCGCTCGAAAACCACGAGCCTCGAGCCAGGACCCAAAGCGTCCCCCCGCGTTGCCTCTGAGTTGCTGGTGACTCCCGCGTGCAGCCGGGAGGAGAACCCGAAACTGGAGAGCACCCCGAGGCTGAACAAAACGCCGTCAGCCGACGAGCACGCCCGAAAAGCCCGAACCGAAAATCTCGAACCTATCCCCCCCCCTAGCGTTGCCTCTGAGCTGCTGGTGGCTCCTGACGAGCGGCGAACGTATCCATATCCGCGCCCTTGCGGTCTGGATTCCGGGGTGCGATCCCGCGGATACGCAGTCGCACGGATACGCCCAACGCGGGGCATCCGCGAAACAATGCTCCGTATCCGCGGGGTCGCGACAAGGCCCTGGCCCACAAGGCCGCGAGACGAGAACGCCCGATGACCTCGAACCTCAAACCGGAAACCTCGAGCCTATCCCCCCCTAGCAGCGTTGCCTCTGAGCTGCTGGCGACTCCCGTAGTTTTGCAGCCAGGTAAACTCCGGAACGCTCTCGAGGAGGCGCAGCTGCCAGAACGTTGCCTCTGCCTCTGAGCTGCGAACGTTTGCCTCCGCCTCTGAGCTGGCAACGCTGCCGCCCGACTCCGACAACGCTGCTGCTGACGCCGCCGCGCTCGCGATAACGCGCCTCGCGCTGCCTCTGCCTCCCGAGCTGCCGGTGCCTCCCGCGCGCGGCCAGGATAAGAGCCCCAGCGCCCGCGCCAGGGGCGCGCGCCGGCGCCCTCTCGGCCCGCGCTCCGCTGCCGCTGCGGAGCACCGCCGCGGGCTCGGGGCGTGCCGATGGTGTTGCAGCTTCGGGGGGGCCCCGTCTGCCCCCCAGGGGAAAACCAAGCAAAAAGCATACACCTTCGGAGGTCCACGCGGGTTCCTCGGAACGGCGCTGGAGGCCCCCTGGAAGCGCCTCCCGCGCCGCTCCTGGAGCGCTCCGCGCGCCAGGAAGCGGGGGTCCAGTGCCGACCGACGAAATCCACATGTTCACGTCACGTTCATGTTCCTCGAATCCCGTCGCGCCCCCATCCGCGTCGAATCCATGCTGGACTCGTCAGAGCCGCGTCGAATCCGCTTCGAATCCGCGCCGAGACCGCGTCGAGACCGCGTCGATTCCGCATCGAGCCCGCATCGGGCGCAAGAAGAGACACCAATGCTGGGGACAGGCGAGGTCCACGAAGATGCAACGTGATGTCGGGCGCCGCCAAGGATGCCGCCTCCGCGCTGCGGCTCCATAGCTGCACCGAACCGGGTTGCGGAGCAGCACTCGAGCCGAAGCTTTTACAGCGTTTACTGTTAAGATTCTGGGAAAATTCGCTTACATGGCATTGCCCCCACCTCCGCCGACATTTCAAACGGCGCTGGGCCGATCAGGCGTGCGAGCGAGTCCCGGCATGCGTGAAATCCAAATTTAATTTCGAACGAAAAACTTATCAAAATCTACCGAGCATCTGCCTCTAGCTGTACCGAGCCGAGTCGTGGAGCAGCACTCGAGCCGAAGCTTTTCACGGACGTGATCAAGGCGTTGCAATTTTTCACACCGTGCGTTTTCGCCCGATTTCGGGCCCCAGGGCCCTCACGGATCGATCAGGGTCGGGACATGCAGCAGAAAGACTGGGTCCTGGGCCCTGGTCGCAATTGATCGCGATGTTGCGAGTTTTCCTCGGCGTCGATGAGGGGATGCCAATGGCGACAGCGAGATGACTACAACAGCCTGTGCATGCGAAAACAAGTCTCGCTGTAAGAATCTAGGGGCGCGTCGTTGATCCCTGGACTTCCAAAGCCGCCGGGGCCATCGTTGGATGAGGCATTTCCGTGGCGCTCCTGCTGCAAGCGGGTCTCTTACTTGACGTGCCTACTGTACGGCGACTGCGCGGCCGATGACCCTGGACGGGAGCGAGGGTGAAGAGAGCGACGGCAATGGCTATTGGGAGTCGTGTGCCCAGCTGGCAGTGCCCCGAACTCTCAGCCGCCAGTGAAGCCACCATGGCGCAGGCCGGGCCTAACGGGCAAGTGTAGACGCGAGGGCTTCTGGGCTGAGATGGACGAGGAGGGAAGGGGGAGGGAGGGAGGGAGGGAGGAAAGGAAGAGGAGGAGGACTCGACTCGATTCGATGTTATGGGATACCTGTGTGCAAGCACAGCCCCACAGGCCAGCCCAAATTTACGGCCGACCTACAAGTAACTTAAGAACCTCATCAAAGCGCGGGAAAAGACATGCCACTCTTCGAGGCCTTACCTCTTGCCAACCGTGCGAGGTTGTTACGCCCTGTGGTCGTGGGATTCGGGGGGCATTCCTCGGCCAACTTCTGCACATTGTGGACCGCGAGCGCCCCGCACGACCGACAAAACAATACGCCTTTAAATTCAGCGAGGGCGTGCGACAGGTGCGCACGGGCAAAACATGAGTGGGCCGTCGGGTTACCCTGGGAAGGCTCAGCGCGGGCGGACTCCAGCTGCAGACCAGACGAGGATTCCAACACCAGCGCCCCAGGGCACGGACAGGGCCAAAAGTTCGAAACCTTACCGCGAACAGCCGAAAACTTGCGGAGGCACCGCGCACACTTAAAGGACGCAGCCACTTTAACAACATCATGGCCCTGAGCCCTCAACCTCTCTTTGCGGAGATTCAGAAAGCTCGGGCCTCGTACACGGTGCAACTCTCTACGATTTCGGTCGTCTCTAGTTCGTGGGCACGTGAGGCGCACATGGCGAGACACAGCTACCAACCTTTTCAGGACCTTCAAACAGTTCGTATCAACATGTTGGACCTCCTGAAACTTGTCATCAAGGAAGGCCCCCCACCTGGCAGCTTCCCCCGCAAAGTGGTCACGATAAGCAGGATGGCCTTTCGCCCAAGAGACCGAGACATTGCACGCACCAGTCTCCAGTTCATCCCATACTAGCTGCCACATATCAAACATGCACGACTGGTCAACTGCCGCTCCAGTCCTCTCGAAGGCCCGAGCGATGGGAAGGCAATCCGTATACAGCATGGCCTCACCTTCAACAAGGCGCAGAAGCTGGAGGAGCGCATGCACCTCCGCACGAGGGGAAGATTGATCAGGACCTGGGAAGGTCCCGCAGATGACGCCACCCACCTGCAGGGATCCTGTTCGGAGATGCACAACAAACCACGCACACCGTCTGATCCTCCTATCCAGAGCCTGGGTCCCACAAGATGCACCACTCCCAAATATACCACCCGAGACCCTACCGCCACTCCGAAGCCATGCCCAGACGTTCGCTGCAGAAACAGGGGGGCACCAAGAGTCCACCCGAGAGGCACCAACCATCGAGTCCAAAAGCACTCGGAATCAGGAGTACCATCACGGGAAACTCGACACACATGGGCGGCGTGAAGGGCGACATCATCAATATCATTATTATCTTGGCACTCCCAGAACCCATGCCACGGTGTCTCAGGGCGCACTCCACATCGCGGACACATCCCAGTACCGGCGCAGCCTGAGTCCTGCAGGCGCTGCTCTGGCAACGGGGCACCAGCAGCAAGGTGACTCAAAACAACGACTCCATCGGCGCCAGCGCCTTCCGCAGCTGCCTGAAGGTGGTAAAGCCAACCCCTTCTTGCAAACCTTGGCCCCCAGAAGCCTGCGACGCCTGGCCCCTGAGGGCCACCGCAACATGATGTTCAATCAACTTCCACAAGTAGAAAGGGAACTCACGACGCTCGACACGAAGCGTGACGTGAGGGAAGTACCGGAGGGTGGGCCCAACAAGATTACCATTAAGTTCGAGCACGCAGGCAATGACAGCCGCAATGAGGCCCTGGACATGACGCCAACGATTAACCCTAGGGACGCCACGCAACTTGGCAAGGATGCGAGGCCAGACGCGACACACCGTGTGGTGTTGGCTAGGATCAAAGGCAGCCAAAGTGCGACTCCATTCCAGAAGATGAGCATATCTAATCTTATACGCAGGGCCATGCATCATGGCCCTGTCAGACGCAAAAAGGGCGGTCGTGCAAGCTCCCGGGTGCCACCGTCCTGAGGCCTTAGCAGCCTGCGCGCGAAGCTTGCGCAGTTGCGACGGCGGCGTTCCCAGGACTTGGCGATCCCACATCGCGACAGCAACAACTCCTGGCTTAAACAACTTTCGCGCTCGAGGGTTCGCATGAGCAAGGAAGGCAGGCTTCTCCCCCTTCCGTTGCGACTCTCCCCGACGCTGAACCATCTTCCACATGGTCCGTCTGCGTCCAACCGCGGTCCCGACCCCGAGATCCTTGACAGCGTCAACGATTTTCAAGGGGGGGGGCCCAGCGTGTCACGCAGTCCTGGACAGGGCGACCAATTTTCACGGACGACGCGACGAGACATGACTTCGACGAGATCTTACATCTCTCCTCTGCAACATGTCACAAAGCTCGCGGGCAGCAGGCGCAAGTTTGCGAGTCGCCTCCTCAACCGTCCCCTGGATACACTGAGGGACATCATCCACGCGCGCCGAGACAGGCGCGCGGGGGACTCGACGGCGCGCTGTCTCAATAATGCCATATGAATAACATTTAATTAGTGGCAGGGGCTGTGCGCAGCCCGCAAGGATGGACTGTCCTGCCTTCGCCACATTCGACACGACAGACTGCGCCTCCAGCAACCGAGGAGACGCGTGCATGAGCAAGCCAAGATAAAGGAGCAGGGGAGAGTACAGAACACCGAGAGCAAGGCCAATCAACTTGCTAGGATCTTTCGCATCAAAAACCTTGCCCCTACCCCAGTGGCCAGAAAACGGAAACAAAAACAACGCCCTCACGGGCGCGCCCATGCAAGACCTCCCTCAACGAGGCAGCCCTCCGGGCCGACGACCTTTTCAGCCGCATCCCAGAAGGCCGCGTGGGAGTCGGTCCAGTCCTGGATGCAACTCCCTCGCATGCGAGTATACATTCGGTAGAGGGTGGGGCACCTAGTCACTGGCCGCTCGGAACTGACAGTCTTAGGAAGCAGGGCCACAAGAAGCAGATGCACCTGCTGCGGGAACCCAAGGGCATATTCAATGCGATTATACAGGGCGGACATCTGATCAAGGGCTTCAATGGGAAGCTGGAGCAGGATGCGAGGGGGCCGCCCATCCACTCCAAGGGTAGCGTCACCAACAAACACTTGCAGGCTCTGATGACATCCTGAACCTCGATGCTGCGAGCCTCCAGGGCGGCCAACTCCGCCACCCGCCTAAGGCGCCGCATGCCGAGCTCCAGACCCTCAACTTGTTTCTCGGAGGGGGCCCACCACTCGGCCCAGAATTGCTCGCGGTGGGACAGCATTTCTTGAGGGGTCTGCGCCGCCATCGAAAGGGGAAACGAACATTTCAACTTCCTTACCCGCATCAGCCCTCAACCAGCGATGGGTCACTTTCGCCCCCCCCCCAATCAGGCCACGAGCCAGCCAGGCCTGGATCCCCTCGCGATTAGCTTTCCGATCAGCGCCCCGCGCGCGACGAACGATTCTGATCCGGGCGCCCAGGGACATCTCAAGCTGTCGAGGATCGCGGGGCAGATCAGACACCCCCCCTAATCCAGACAGAAGCTTGCTGAGCACCAGCAAGGCCTTCTAGGCGTCGGCCCACCTCGCCACCACGCGCGCGCAGGAGAGTCCTGAGCGCGGTGGCTGAGTGGAGCCTCCACGCTTTGAAGCAACAGCAAAATCGTGCAATCGGGGCGAGATCAACGTCCAAAAAGCTGGGCAGGGGCGTGAGGAACCTGGTTCCATCACTCCACGTTTCACGAGGGTCTTCCGCTGCAGGACTACCGCTCGACCCCGATGCCATCCGGCATCCAGCCACGGTTGG